TGGCAGGGGCCCAAGATCAGCAGGCCCTGCAGCAGGAACCTGCTCAAATAATCCCAGGCTTTCTTCCCTCGCTGTCTGGCAAATGGCCACCACATTCCCTCCCAGGGCCTCTCCTAGCTACAGGGCTTACAAATTGGATAGATATGGTTCAGCCTACAGCCCCTAGAGTCACATCTGTAAGTAGGAACTCAACGGAGGTCTGCTGGCCAGAGCTGAAGCTGGGTTCAGGAGGGGTGAGAGTCAGACAAGGCAAAACAGAGATGGGGAACCAAGACGCCTTCCACTCTCCTTATCACCCATACTCACAGCTCACTTTCCAGTCTCCCCCTGCTTCCAAACAGCGCTTCCCTGAAAGGTTCTCCCGGGGACTATGAAACTAGCAGGGTGTCACATTTGACAGGTGCCCAGGAAAAGTCAGCACCCCAAGCTGCCCTGTAGGAGCCCTGGGGCTGACCCTGAGCCAGAACCCCGCATGAATCAAACCGAGTCTCCGCCTTCAAACCTCAAGATTCACCCAGGGGAATGCCAGCTCTGGGAATCCCGCCTCCCGGCACCTGAATGCTCCAGCATTGCCACCCCAGGCTCTGGGCTGCCAGCTCTGGGCAACTGTCTGCTGGTTCTAATACCAGGCGGAAACTCAGTTGAGGATGTAGCTTCTGACCTCATCACCCTTAGCTCCCAGCCTAGACAAAGCTTAGAGATCAGGCCTCCTTTGTTTCCGGCCACACCCAGGGACACAGCCCAGATGCTCAGCACACACTACTGTCCCACCTTCGGGCTGCTCAGCCTTTGCGGTTAACCCTTAAGAAGCCGCAGCTGCAAGTGTGGACCACTGGGATATTTTTAGCTGCAGTGAGACGTGGGAGCGGTGCCTCCATCATGGCGCAGCTCCAATTCCGGCCTTCCACCCCATCAGTAAGCAAGAAGTGAAGAGCCACATCTTTTTCCTTCCTCTGAAGGCTGCAAGGTGGAAGGGAGGGATGTTGCCGGAACCAGGTACACTAGGCCAGGCACACCCTCTCCATCCTAGCTTGAAGCCCGAGGGAGTGGGCTGGGACCCCGAGCCCCTCCCTCTTTTGTTCAGCTCCGCATCCTTCCCGGCCACGCCATCCTCCCGGCACATCCCGCGGAGGGAGGGGGCTGCATGCCCGCGGGGAGAGGGACCGGAGACTCCAGCCCCGCCCTGCCATGCGGGGCTCCCCCTCATTGTCCCCAGAGGGGGAGGGGGCGGCCTCGGCGAAACGGGCCCCGCCCCACTCGCGGCGACGCAGGAAGCCTCCGGGGGCGCCCCTGCTGTCCCCCCCCCACGGGTCTGGACCCTGATGGCGACCACCCCCACGCCACAAAGCACCGCGGCAGGGCGGGGGGGCTTACCGTGATGTGCGGGATGCTCTTCTTCCCCTGATGAGACATGGCCCCCCTGGAGCCCTCCGCCTGGCTGCTGGACCTGCCGGCTGTCTGACGCCCTACCCGGCTGTCTCCCGGAGGAGATACTCGTGGGAGCGGCGACAAAGGCCCGAAAGGGATGCAAGAAAGGACAGAAGCTCGGCGCCCACCGCTGCCCACTCCCCGCTGCTCGGCCCGCCGCCGCTGCTCCGGCTGCCTGCACCTCCCGGCTTGGCAAGGAGGGCGGGAGGAGGAGGGAGAGGCAGGGCGAGAGGAGGGCGCTGAAGACAGACAGCTCCTCCCGGTGGCGGCAGCAGAACCGGATTCGCCCCTCTCGGCTCGAACCAGGAAGCGCTTGCCTTCCGATCTCCCCTACTCCGCCCCCGACCCCCGCCCCGCGCCCTCGCCCTCGCCCCGGCCTTGCTCGCGCAATTAGGACAATTTGCTGTTCGTTCAGTGTTGTTTCAAAAGCAAGAAACAGCCTTCCGGTGCGCGGCCAAAGGCCTTGAGCAGCGCCACAGGTGTCTCTGAGTCTCTGTATGTAACCTGTGCTTGGCAGGGAGCTAGCACTCTCCCTAATTTCTGGAAGCACCCTAGGCCCTTCAGGGTTGCACTCAAGGACCCCTCTGGCCACTCCTTCCACGGTCTCCGTTTCTCCGTCCCCTGAATGGGCCCTTTACCATGTCCAAGTCCAAGCCTTCATTCATGCTGTACCCTTGAATAGCACCTCAATCACGGGTTACTCATTTTCCCAGCCCCATCTCCAGAGCCTTCATCTCTCTTGACTCCCCATTTTTACTCCCATGCAGAGACAATGCAGCAGAAAGGACGAGGCCCGAATCCATGAGTGATGGGCTCTGACCCTTCATCCGCTCTCTCCTCTCAGTGTCCTGTCATTGTTCCAGTGGCCCGGCAATGAGTGCTTGGAAAGCTACAACTGGCACCAAGGTGTCTACAGCTCTGGGGACAGGGAAAGAATGCCTCTCATGTAAGTATTCAAAGCCCAGGGGACCCATAGTTCCGATATTGCTCTAAGAGAGACAAGCAAGAAGGACATGGCTTGCCAAACTTCACCAAGAGAGGACAAAAGATGGATGAGGGAGCCCCAACAGACCTCAAAGCACTGGGCAGCTGCCCCCAGGCAGAAGCAAGCCATTTCCCTACCAATGAGCTCATTTCCTGCCTGCACAATTCCCTCCACTGACCCTGTGCATAGACACTCTCCTCCACTTCCGGTTGCCACGGAAGGTGAGGCACGGAAAAAAAAATCTATGGACCCTGCTGGGGCCTGGCATCCTCCACCACACGGAGAAAGCCGGTTCTCTAGCCCACCACCGCAAGAGACCAGGTGAGGTTATAGGATTCAAGCGAACAAGCTTATATCCGGGAACACACTAGGCCATGATTTTCCCTTTTTACAGATAGGAATCTAAAGCTTGCAGAGGTAAAATTCCGCACATATGCAGAGATAAAATGAGATATATTAGCGTCTGGAAGCCAGATCCAGGCAGATGTCGGTGCGGGTTTTCTACTCATTAAGTCCCGCCTGTGCTCTGGCTCCTAAATTCTCATTAGTGACCGGAAGCTGCGGGTGGCAGCGGCATCCTTCCAACTGACTCCTGGATTCCCTTCCTCAGTACTAAATCATAGGTTCCAGTACCCGGGCATTCCCAGGGGTCAGTCAGGGGGTTCTGGGCAGGCAAGCTACAGAGAGGGGCTGGGCCTCGTGCAAGTCAGAGGGAGGAGCCATGTTCGCGACTGGCCAAACAGATTGCTGCTCCCAAGCAGACTTTGCCGGTACAAAGCGCTGCAGCCATCAGCCTCTGGCAACTGCAAACGTTGCGCCTGCGCTGTAGAAATCCCTCCTCCCTCCCAGGAAAGAGCCTTGTGGGCGGGGGAGGGGCCCGGGCACCCTTTGCAGGAGTGGTGGTGAGGCCAGCCCCGGATCCCCAGTCCTCTGCAACCCAAGCCCTGCGGTTTTCATAAAGTAAATTACTCTATCCAGAGGGACCGCGAGCTCCTCCACTCCACAATCCCTACCAGGGAGTACTTGGGGAGGACGCGGCCTTTTGTCCAATCCCTAAGAAGCCGGGGAGAAAGGACAGAGGGGACCCGGGAGGGAAGAACACAGGAGCAGGTGAAGCGACCAGCGTCCAGAAACACCAAAGCACAGCTGCCTCGCCGGCCCTGGCAGAGCTGGAGACAAAGCTGGTGTAGATGACCCTGACCACCACCGCTTAGCCAAGGACAGCTCCGGGCCAGGCACAAAGAGCACTGGCCTCCCTGGTACTCCCCTTGAGGGAAGCTGAGAGCAGATTGTCACTCTCGGGTCACAGATGGAGGCAGCTTAAAGAAGGTGAAACACCTCGGCTGGTTCAGGTGGTCGCTGGGTTTCGGAGCCCTGAAGCCTCTGGTGGAGCCAGAGATCCTGTTTCCCACGCGAGGTCCAACTTCCAAGAAGGAGATAAAGGGATAAGGAAGCAAAGGCTGGACTCCTCACCCCCGCCTCCTACTCCCAGGCCCCAGATTCAGGACCACGGAGAGCTCCCAATCAGGGGAAAAGCGCCAGAGGCAAGGATACCAACCACCCACAGGCCAGCCCATTTCCTTCCCCAATATGCCTGTCCAGATTACAGTCCTCTTCAAGCTCTCCCTCCCTCTTGATTCATTTTGTGCCTCTCATAGCGTTAATGAGAAGGGCTAAATAATTAAAAAGAGAATGATAATAAAACTCAACAGCAAGCATTTATTGATCATTCTCTACTTGAATGAACTTAATTCTAGAAATGAGTCCACAGCTCGTCCCAGCCTGGGAACTTCTGGAGGGTGGGGCCAAGCTGACTAGCCAGGCCAGCCAGCGCTCAAGGGACAGGCTCTCAGCGTTACTCCAACTTCTGTTTCCCAGGCACGTGGCTCTGACCTCACCCACCCAGTCCAGGACTCTTCTGCCAGTCCAACCATGTTTCCTTGTAAATCTCAACTTAGAGAAGAAAACCTATGGGGCCCAAACCCTGGCCGTGCCTTTCCCTGATAGCCCTCCTCACTTTCAGAAGTCGGAGTTCAAATCTCAGATTCCCCTTCAACTTGCACATCCGGGGGTGTCCCTGGATGATCTCTAACTGCCCACCATCTAAACCCTTAACCAAATCGTCCCACAGGGAGGGTCGGGGAGCAGCCTTATGAGTCGAGTCATTCGGTGAACCTCTCCCAGAGCCGGGTGAAGCATAAGCACTCCACAATCACTGAGTGAGAGAATAGATGGATGGAGGAAGATAGAGAATGCTCCCTATTCACAGAACCCCAGAAGGAGAAATGAGGTTTAAATTCATCTTACAGGTCCCTTAGCAGCAGCTGCAGCAACTTACTTCCCCTCTCAGAACCTGACTCTGGCTTTCTGGACCTGAGAGACTCCTCCGGAGTCCAGAGGCTATGCTGGCCAGCCCTGGCCTAGCGTATAACCTCTCTGAACCTCTTGTAGGATAAAGTGGGGGAGGGGCCGTTGCAGTCCCCAGAACCTGGTGGCAATGGGCCCTAGCACTCGCCCTCGCGCTGCCCAAACCCTAGGTCTCCAAGGGCCCCGCCCCCCACGTCCGGCCCACGCGCCCCGAGGGTACCTGGCCATTGTCCCGACCGAGTGGCAGGTCGCGGGGCGCAGGGCATCGGATGCGCAACGCCGGCGGTCTGTCATCACGATCGCCTGGCGAGCTGACCGCAGAGCCAGAGGGCTCACTCACATCGCTGGCCGTGTCCTCGCTGCCGCCGGGGCACGGCAGGCCCACGGCGTCGGACCGGCCAGCGCTGCGTGGCGTGCGCGCGGAGCCGCGGCGGCCCACGCTGTAGGCGTCGAAGTCGATGGTCTTGTTCTCGTAGGCGCCCTCCACAGCGGCGAACATGCCGCCGTACTTCTGGCGCGGGGTCTGCGCTGCGCTGCCCGGCCGCGCCAGGTACACCGGCAGGTCGTCCTCGGTGTTCCACGCGCGCCGCCGTTCCGCCATCCCCGTCCTCGCCGGGCAGCCCTTGCCACCTCTGGCTCCGCGCTGCGCGCCTCGGTGCGGGCCCGCGGCGGCCCAAGCGCGACTGCGGTGGGGCAGGGAGGGAGGGAGGAAGGACTGGGGCGTGGCCCACGAGGGGCGGGGTCTGGGCGGGGCGGGGGCGGGGCCTGCAGTGACCGAGGCCGCCGCCACCGCCAGCTACAAAGGACCGCGGGGGCGGGGACCGCGGCCGGGGCGGGGAGGGTGGTGACGTTCTGGAGCCGCAGCGCGGAGGGCGGGCGGCCCAGCCGCAGTGCCCTCCACACACCCGGCTCTCCGCCTCCTAGAGGAGCGCTGGGCGCGGACAGAGACGGGGTGGGGGCGATGTGCGCGCGCGCGCACACCACACACACACACACACACACACACACACACACTCACACACACACTCAGTGAAGCTTCACATCACACGGGAGAGTTGCACAGGCAAGCTGGTACATACCCAAGTCAGATACCTTGGCACTCCTTCCAGACAGTGGCACACCATGGACACACACACACACACACACACACACACACACACACACACCAGAGAGTCTCACTGTCAGATAACCCCACACATGACAAAAATTAGAAGTTAAATGAACTTAAATGCACAGTCAGAGGCATACACATCCAGCTCCCCATTGGTTCACTCACCACTACTTCACTGATTGCCTAATAGGGTCTGGTACTAGTAGTGCGAAGGACTGGGCTAACAGTATAATGAAATCCCTGTTCTCAAGGGCCGACCTTCTGAGGGGAAATGATACAAGAATGTAGCCTGCAGAACTCAGGAACAGAGGTCCCTACTGCACAGCAAGGGGGCCATGTTAGTATTAACTCCCAAATGCTTGTACATGAACCAATGACCCATCTGCATACTGGATGCACACTCCAACGACACCTCAGGATGGAGAATTTCCACACATTTCCAAAGGCAAATTCACAAAGCTCCTCCACACATACTGGCCTGTAGACTGCTGGCAGGGAACCCACACACATCCCCCACCAGACATAAGGGAAGTAGGAAGAACTCTCAAACAGAAACGCTTTGGAGGCAGACACCCAGGAACAGACACACACAGAGCAAGCAATCATCCAGACAGACAACATCCTCCCTCTATGAGTAACTCCTGCATCCTGAGTACAGTCCACTCTAGCTATGCCTGAGGCTCGATGCCTGGAGATTTAGGAGCTTTTCTAACCAGGCAGAAGTGTGAAGACTTGGGGTTTCCCTTCTCAGAGGCCAGGCAACAGTCACAGTCCCCTCATTTATTTGTGACTTTCTAGTCCCTGGGGACCTAGGAATCTCAGCTGTCCTTTTTGGACGGAAGGCTCGCAAGCTGCCAGCCCCCTAGGCAGACAAGTCCAAACTGGCAGTCAGGGTTGGTGGGAAGCAGTAGGAAGCTCCATTTAGCAGCTGTCCTTCCCTTGGCTTCCCTGAGCTGGGAGCTGTCCCTTCAGCACCACAGCAAAGGTCACAGAACTCTGAACAACCTTGGCGAACCCCGGATGGACAGGACCATGAACATGACTGTTGAGATAACGACCTCTATCACATAGGGTCTACATCAGCTGACACCTCATGTCTCCTTTGAAACCTGGAGCAAGCTAGTCTGTGCTGCAAGTAGGGCCCTTCAGTTGTGGGACTAAGGAACCAGGAGAAGCAAACAGCTGCCTGCCCAGTCCATTTCATGTGGCTGCCCGTCTGCCTGGGACTTCACGATCATCCATGGTCAGTGGGCAGTTGGAAAGTTCCTTCCTTCCTCCCCTCACCCATACTTGACAGGGACTAATGCTGGGGACACAGGAAAGTATTTATAAAGCCCTTGCCCTCAGTAAGTGTCTATTCTACAGTCAACATTTTGGGGGACACAGTCCCTCTAGATTTACCAATGGTGATGGAAATCTTATTGCTTGGTAGGGAAATCTCAGGCTGGGAGCGATGGCTTAGAAACTAAAAGCACCTGCCACCTTGCAGAGGACCTAGATGGGTTCTCAGCACCCATGTCAGGTGGCTCAAAACTGCCTGTAACTACAGCTCCAGGAGCTCCTATGCCATCCATTTCTGTGGTCCCTGTGGGCACACACACACACACACACACACACACACACACACACACAGAGAGAGAGAGAGAGAGAGAGAGAGAGAGAGAGATACATACACATAGACACACACATG